TGCGATGTATACACACGGCGCGCTTCGAGGCTGCCTTCACTAACTACAACAACTGTACACCTGTACAACACTACAATTTATGAGTTATGCCAATTGTTTTTTCTTATTTACAATTAAATATTTTATTTTATTGTTTACGATTTTAATGAATTAACCAGCTAATTTTATTATTTCTTACATAAATACCTCGGTTGGTGAAACAATGGAATATGTGCCTTAATTTTAGTGGTAATTATTTGTAGATATATTTGCCAATGATTTTTTTCTCTACAAAAGATGAGGTTTAATTAAACAAGCGACAAGTAATATGCCTAATAAACTACTATGTACAATAAAAATTTACATCAACAAAACTTATTTTAGAGACGAGAATTGTGCCGTAATGTTAATCTTCCATAGATTTTATCTGTAAAATCGTTTTAACTATAAATGCCGGTTAAAAGAATAAATATAAACAAATATCTAAATATCTGAAATGAAGAATATAAACGGGATATTGCAATTTATAGTAATAAAAAGTATTTAGAGTTACAAAAGTTAGATTAAAACACAGGGAAGAAAAGGTAAAATTCTCCAAGATAGTTATGTACGCTTCAGAAATAAACCTGCGCACAACAAAAATGGAGAAATTACTAACAGTCATAGACAGAACGGTACTTGGAAAAATATTAGACCTACAGACGTACATCGATAAAGGGACACAATCTTTGGATATGCTTTTTCGTTATCATTAATTATGATACAATTCTCGTACATTTGTTATTTGTAGGTTGCTGGTAGTTAAAAATTATAGCATTTTGTTTAAACTAAGTATATAATGAGAATAATCAAAAGCTGTATATTATCAGTTAGAGAAAACCGAAATACAGCAGGGCTTCTTCTTCTTCAGGTGCCATTTTCGCTACGGAGGTTGGCAATCATCATAGCTATTTAAATTTTTAAGGCAGTAGCTCTAAGTCGTTGTTTTGAGCTGCATCCAAACCATTCTCTCAGGTTTTTAAGCCATGAAATTCATCTTCTTCCGATGCTTCTTCTGCCATCTATCTTTCCTTATTCCTTGCATTGTGAATCGCAGGATACCATACTTCTCGCCCCGCATCACATCTCCGAGATATTGTAGCTTTCTTTCTTTAATAGTAGGTAAGTTTAACTTTCTTCCTTCTCTTTACCTATTCTTCTCAGTACTTCAGTGTTCGTAACTTTATCTACCCAGGAAACCCTCATAATTCTTCTATGGGTCCACATTTCAAAGGCGTTAAGTCGTCTCATTGTGTATATATTTAACGTCCATGATTCCACTCCATAGTATAGTACACTGTATACATAAAATTTTATTAGGTGTACTTAAAGAGCTAATGTTAAATCTTTGTCACATAGAATCTTCTTCATTTTCATAAATTTAGAACGTGCTTTTTCGATTCTGACTTTGATATTTGCAGTGTAGTCATTATTTTCTGTTATAAGTGTTCCTAGGTAAGTGTACTTTTTTACTCTTTCGATCTGCTGGTCCTTTACTATCAAGATTTCGTTAATATTATGGTTGTTTTTACAAATTTTTATAAACTTCGTTGAGAAAGAGTCCCTACTACACATTACTATTTTACTTATTAGTCTTTCCAGGTCTTGTAAACTATCGGCTATTATTACTGTATCATCTGCATATCTGATGTTGTTAACTAAGACTCCATTTACTCTTATGCCGCCTATTTCATCGTCAAGAGTTTCTCGAATTACCTCTTTAGAATAAGCGTTAAATGCAGCCTTGTATGACTATTCTCCTTATTTCCATTTCTTCAGATGTCTCTTTTTCAATTCGTACTATTGCTCGCTGATTGTAATAAAGGTTTGTTATTAGCCTTAAATCTATTTCATCTAGGTTTTTATTTTTTAGATAGCTGGGCGGATCTGTGAAAAGACGACTTAATTTGGATGTTTGTGAAGAAGTAACATTCGAATTTTTGCAGAAATAGTTGGGTTATAACTTCAGTAATAACTGATTCATCCTTTCTTTTAAATAAGTCAGATGCATAGGTCAGTACAGATATTCTGGAAAGATTTTCTTCATAATAACTTATTAGTATACATAGATGCGCGTATTATCGCTAGGAATCATTGCTTATATTCCTTGACTATTGATCTAGAGAAAGCTGGAGGCATATTATTACGTTCTTACGTGTAATTCCTTCAAATGTACATGCCGCCGATCTCAGGTTGGGGTATATTTGTTCCCACTAATATTTGGAACAAGTTTAAAAGCTTTTGGTGTGATATATTATGGCAATATTATCCACAAATCCACATATGTAATCAGAAGGTGTATATATGTAGCAATTAAAATCTAATTTTCTTATGATTGATTCCAAACTTGGATTAAAAATACTTTTGATAACAAATCTTGACTGACTCCATTATCAATAATAAAGGCATTTGACAGCTATCCGTTTGTTCTAACTAAGTTAACTAAATTTTTGGGTATATCTTGTGTGATAATCTATTTCGTATTTTTTTATTTCTACTCCACAGGTTTGATATATATAACAAACATCTGTGCCACTTTCACACTTCTGCATAAATAATTTCATTTTATAACGGTAAATTTTTCCAGCGTTAGACTTTTCTGTAAAAATAAAAGAAGCATATGCGAAAACATACAGGCCCCTTGAAAAGGTAGTCACATAATATAAAAATTATAAAGATTTCATGAGCAACTCTAATTACTTTCAGTTTATGTACCAACAATGTGAACTTGATATATTATCACGTTATGTGCATTATGATTTGATAACATGGAATAACGAATATTATAATAAGTTATTCTAAAAGATGTCCGAGATAAAAAAAATAAATAAATATTAAGAAATAATAATTTAAAACAACAATACCCAACAATACCTACCAACAACCTTTTATGTTTCAACTTTAGTTCCCTTCCCAAACTTAAACAAGCCCAAAAATAAAAACTATGTACAAAACAATTCATTGACTAGATAAACATTATTGACACGAATCATCTCTACGCGACTTCGAGATCTGACGAATCGTCGTCAGAGAAATTTTGAGTTTGCACGGGATGTAATGACTGGTCACTTGTTGCAGGTCTATTGCAAACGTCTTCTTCTTGGACCTTCCTAAGTCGCTCTTGCTCTTCTCTCTTCTGTTTCCGCCATTTTGCTCGACGGTTTTTAAACCAAACCTGTAACAACGAAAAAAGAAGCTTGTAATATTGAAATATATAATTCACTAATGTATCTAAACAATATTGTTCAACTCTTTAGTTTTATGGTACTGTTGTTGTTAATATTTCCGTTGTTACTTAACATATTATTTAACACTGAATATATTTTTGCGCAAGCGCTGGAATAAAAAGAGGACAGCATATTGTGCATCTAAATATTATTAGATAGCTGACGATACAGTAGTTTTTTCAGAGAATTTAGATGGTTTACAAACAATAATATTAAAAATATAAGATATTAGATGAGAATCTGAACTGAATTGTTATACAAAAAAAAACAAAATGCATTGCTCACAACGCTCGAATAATTAGAGAGTACTTAAACAATACTTCCCCGAATCGAGTTATCAGCGGAACAGGCGACATTAAGTGGCCTGCGCGATCTCCAGATCTTACACCCATGGAGTTTTTTTGGGACATTTTAAAAGCATCATCTACGATCATAATGAGGCTAGAGCCCAAAATTTGGATGAATTAAAAAACTGAAATAGAGAAGTCTTCAATTGTCTTACAGCAGAAACTCTTACATCTGTCCTCAGAAGATTTTATGACAGATACTGTTCAGCCATAGAAGGTCAAATATTTGAATCATTTCTGTAGGACATACAGAATTATTTCTTATTTTATAAGGGATTACTTTTTATTTTCCATAACAATTAAAGTAAACTGTATACACAAGCTTAATCAAGCCATTCAGAGCGATGCTGGGAATATTTATTAATTGCTATCGACATTTAACTTTATCTTTCCTCACTAGAGGTCTCTAGTAGCATACGCTGGTAATTATTTTTCCTATAATTGCCATAGTAGTCGGTGCGTTTTGATTTGGTTTGAGTCTTCTTGCAAACTCTCTCTGATGACGGGTAGACCCAGAAACATGTGTTAGAGAATGGTAAGAGACTCAAATTAAATAAAAACTCAACCGTCTACGTATATTTATTTAATATATTTTTTGTTTTATCTTTTATTTTTGTGCGATTTTATTTTTAATTCAACCACAAAAAAATGTTTACGTTATTAAATAGCGACACAAATGCACCGCCTTACAATAGTCAGGGTATTTTTATCGAGTATGAAAAATGAATGAAATGAATTGGGTATACGTAAGCAAACAAAAATTGACGAATGTAGATGCATATCTACCTTGCTTTGTTATGTGTTACTAAATGGTTTTTGTTTTCTCATTTTCTGTCTAGGAATCTAAGGCTTACGTGTCGGAGGATATCGGAGAATTACAATGTGCAACTACATCGTACGTGGCAATGTTGCCGATTTTAGCGCTTTATGTAGTTTGCAATATCTAATCCAAAATTTAACGTACTGTATCATCAGCATATGCAGGGATTTACACTGGTTTGTTATATATTGAACCGGTATATGTGCTTTGTGACAAACGTTTTACTTTTTCCAGAAAAGAGAGAGAGGGAGAGAAAGAGAGAGAGGATCTCCCTGGCGCAGCCTGTTATTTATTTTAAAAGGTTCAGACAGGTCTTCCTGGATTCGTACTATTCATTTAACTTAGAGTTAGTTTTGTAAATTTTACCAACTGATTTTGTATTCGTAGTTCTTTCATTGCTCTGAACCTTTATATTTTATTTACAGAGTCGTAGGCTGCATTGTAGTCTATAAATATGTGATCTATGCCATATGTGAATAAGTATCTATGCCATATTCCAGTGTTTTTCTAAAATTTCTACAAAAAACTGTCACCAAAATATGTAATGAGGATGAACGATGAAAATATTAACCATGCCAAAACAAAATAAACGAACATAATTATTGCAGTAATTTTTTAACTGTTACCAAAAATATTGTCTAACAATTGAAAAATTGTGTAAAAAAGTAAATTTTAAAAAAAGCTTTGTCTGCAAGTAATACTGCACAACGGTTAACAAAAGTTACAAAAATGGAATGAATAATTTAATCGACTTCTTCAATGGTTTGTCCAGCAGCTCCGGCGGCACCTGCAGCTCCTGGAGCTGTTCCACCTAGGAAACTGCCTGGCATGCCACCTGGAACTCCACCGGCATCTTTGTACAACTTAGTAATGCTGGGGTTGCAGATGTTTTCGAGCTCCTTTTGTTTGTGTTCATATTCTTCCTTCTCAGCTAATTGGTTAGCATCCAACCAAGCAATAACCTCATTGCATTTCATCATGACGGTGGTTTTGCCGTTTTCGCTGATATTGTCCTTGATTTTGTTATCTTCAATGGTGCTCTTGATGTTAAAACAGTAAGATTCGAGGACGTTCTTATCTGAGATGGTAGCCTTTTGCTTATCATCCTCAGTACGGTATTTTTCGGCATCGTTAACCATTCTTTAAATATATTCTTTCCTGAGACTACCTTTATTGTTGGTGATTGTGATCTTGTTTTCTTTGTTGGTGGATTTTTCAATAGCTGTGACGTTTAAGATAGCATTGGCATCAATTTCAAAGGTTACTTCGATTTTAGTTCTCGGAAGTTCAAATTTACCCAAGAGGTTGTTGTTCTTGGTCGTTCACCTTCATATACCTGAATAAGTACTACAGGTTGGTTGTCAACAACCAACGATTTATCAAGATCAGCGAAAGCGACAAAACCACCGTCATAGAGAAATGCAATGAGGTTATTGCTTGGTTGGAGACTAACCAATTAGCTGAGAAGGAAGAATATGAACACAAACAAAAGGAGCTCGAAAATATCTGCAACCACATCATCATCAAGTTGTACCACCAAGGTATCGGTGGAGCTCCTGGTGGCATGCCAGGCACTTTCCCAGGTATATCAGCTCCAGGAGCTGTAGGTGCTGCCGAAGGTGCTGGACCAACCAATGAAGAAGTCGATTAAATTATTTATTCCATTTTTCTAACTTTTGTTAACCGTTGTGCAGTATTACTTGTAGAGAAAGCTTTTTTAAAATTTACTTTGTACACAATTTTTTAATTTTTAGACAATGTTCTTAAAAAATTACTGCAATAATTATGTTCGTTCATGAATAAAATAAAAAATCAAATAAAAAAAATATTCATACGCTTTGGTATAATTTTACACAATTAATAACTTTTAAGGGGGATAAGGAAAGTTCTAACAGTTCTAATATGTCTACTTTAAAACTACAAATAAGATGTCACAAATTATTAACAAATATTTTAAAAAAGTTTTCAAAACAAAGTGTATTCTGCTCAAGTACCTAATGTCTTATAATTCAATTCGACTTTCCCTTCCTTTCTGATCTGTATCTGCACTTGATTTATTAGATAACAACACAAATCACAAAATTTAATTACGGGCGATGATGATATCACGCCAAAAAAGTGCTTAACGTCATCAACAGACCAAGTCGACAGCGTATGGCTGGAAATGACGAAACGTAATATGAGAGCAGGTTTTATCTGCCTGGCGCTGATATTATGCGAGGAGATTTTATTGCCTTTTTCCTAATACAATTCCAGGATATTTGCATCAGAATAATTCCTGTTTGAGTGTTGGCTTTATTCGAGAACAATGGAAGACATAAAAGGTTTTTCACTCTTTCGTGTTACTGAAAGCAGAGTTGGTTCCAAAACGAATGGAGTTAATAAGATTTAAATTTAAAAATAACCGCTGATAAATTTAGTGAATAATTATGTGCATTATAATGGTTTTTGTTATATGGTCTAGAGATTGTTTTAAAACTAAAAAGAATATATTTAAAAACTTAATTTACACTCAAAAATGTACCTATAAATCTCACCAGATTCTTCTTTTTATGTGGACCTAATCGCTAGATAACTCTTCTTACCTATATGTAATTAAAAATTAAAATCGGGCATTTATGATCATGGTTCATTGAATTTTAGTTAAACTCTAAACTAATTGGTATATTTTTAAAAGACCTTTGGTACAAAAAAAAAAGAAAACGCCATTGCTATTCAACCATAACCTAATAATAATTTTCTGTAATTACTATTTAAATGGGAATAAGCCACAATTAAAGGTTAACGTATATTTATTGACGTTTCAATTTCCACTTTGGAAATCGTCCTCAAAATACAAACATTAGTAAATTAAACTAATTTAATTTATTTTGAGAACAATATCCGAAGTGGAAATTGAAACGTTAGTAAACTTACTTCAACCTTCAGTTGTGGCTTATTCCCATTTAAATAGTAATTACTTTAAAATGCCACAAGAAAATAGCTTCAGGACAATAATAATTTTTTGTTGTTCTTCGTACACTGAATGTATATTTAAAAAAATAATAAAACCTCGAGTTCTAATAGGAATTGTTATACAAACGAATATAAAACAAGAAAAAACAGCAAAAAAGATATTAGCAAGAAGCAAAATGCAAAACAATAAGCAAAATTAACAGTATAACCTAATTAACACGTTCGCTTTCAAGAGGATACATAAGTTTCGTCCTTATAAACTATGTGTATAGAAATATATAGTGTTTTATAGAATATGTCAAATATTTGAAAAAACCTTTACTTGTTTGTAATTTATATAAAACCGGGGGACCTATGTATAGTTGAGGCCAACTATCTATTGTACGTCGGCAAATTCAAACAGATAATATTTGTATGTTATGAAATTCAAGTAACCGATGTCCAATGACGTATCGTTATATTAGTTGTTTCACCGATACAATTTTTTTTGATATAAGTATTAAATCACAAAATAACAATCTGTAATGTGTATAATATGATACTCAAAGAGCAGAAAATCTGATTTCGGAAAAAAAAAACAAAACGTTGTATTTCTTTGTTTTTTAAATGGTTAAAAGTGAAATGTAAAGAAAATTATCACTCTACCACTCTATCGGAAAAAATACTAGGTGATACAACGGCATCTTCTATAGGGTTTTTCAAAGCTTCTCATTTGTTTCAGGTACTCATTTCACTTATATATCATACAATTTTAATATATCTACGTCATAAGTCTTTGGTATGTATAGTTATTGGTATATACTATATACCAATATTGAGGGATTTTTTGATCCGGCTCATATATGAGACGTTGGTCTACCTACAGCTTAGCCGAAAATATAGTCCATGTGGAAAGTATCTGAAATCTTATATTTTTCTGAATTTTAATAGATTTCCTTTTTGGTAACATTTTAAGACAAAAGTAATGCATCAAGTAGGTTGTGCCAATAGTAGATTATGGACAAAATCATACTGTTGTTTGTAAACAGACTTAAGATTTGTGAAATAATGTCGCAAGTAGAAAAAAGAAAAGTGTTGGAATATTTGTATAGAAAAAGTATCCAAAACGTTAAAAAATTAGTGCAATTGACTGAACTTGAAAAAAGTGCAGTGTATGAGACAATAAAGAGGATAAAAAATGGCATAGATATGAGACATAGACCAGTTTCGGATAGACCTCGTAAGATTCGTGGAAACAATTTAAATGCTTTAGTGGCTTTAGGACGAAAAAATCCGCGCCTAGGGTTTCGAAAATTATCGAATAGATTTGGAAATCAACGAAGAATAAAAGTGTGCCCAGAAACTGTCTGCATGTCACTGAAAAAGCGAGGCTACATATCAAGGAATTAAAAAAATTCCTACAATGATACCTCTGCAAAGGCAACGAAGAATAGATGTTTGTCAACATATTCAAGAAGACAATTTTAATAATGTCTTTATATCTGATGAAAATTGTTTTTAGATTGGTGCAAATTTCCAAATTTCCCACTAAAATAATGGTTTGAAGAGCAATATCTCAGCGTGGTGCTACACCTCTCTGTATAGTTAATGGTACTGTTGATAGTGCGAAATATTGGGACATCCTAAATGGTTTTCTTCTTGAAACGGCTCATGTTTTATATTCAGAGATGCCATACTTCTGCTTATACTCAAGCTTGGATGCAAGAACACGAATTGGCAACAATTCCATGGCCAGCAGCATCTCCAGATCTTAACCCCATTGAAAACATATTGGAACTGATGAAGATTGGAATGAGCAGCGCCACGAGATAAAGAAGGTTTGATTCGTTCAGTGCTATAGGCCTGGAATTCCATTACCGAAAATTATGGCCTTGACCTAGTTTTGAGTGTACCTGGACTTTTAGTTAAGTGTTTAGATTTAAATGGAGATTGTATAAGTGAATGAGATGAATTATTTGTGATATATATTTCAAGTGATAGAAATAAATATCGTACAATTATAATTCTGCTTTCTTTTTTCCGTATACTTTCTAGAGAGACAATAGACCATTGGTCTCATATATGAGGCATAAAATAAATTTTAAGATTTACGTAAATTAAAATATGATTAAAAAAAATATACAAGTACAGAACAAAACAAAACAACTCAAAAACATATCATTATTTGAAAAAAAAGTATAAAGTATCTACTTACTGCCCATTTACGACATTAGTGAAAGCAAGGGTCAACACATGGGCCTACGAGCACATAGCCCATTTGCCTATTTTTGTCTTTTCAATTTTCACAAACACAAAAACAAAAAATGTCTCAATTCTTTTGTTTTTTGAGGAGCAAATTCGCGACCTTCTTGTTTTTTTGTTTCTTTGGTTAATGTGTAGTCAAGTAATACTAGCTCCCTGAATTATAAGTAGGTCATTTTCTTCTGTTCTTAGCCTTATTATGCAACTAGGTACCATTCCATAATGCTAGGTCCAGATAATGGAAAATATTTTAATGTACCACCTTATAGTTTTCCTTGGTGTAGTATACTATAAGAGCATTTGGTTACTCCTTTCCACACCAGACATGTTTCTATTATAATCGACTACCACACTTGGTTTTTCTTTGTCTTTTAGCCATTTATTAGTAATTTTCCCAGATGCAGATCCATGTAACGTCGTTATCATAAGCACATCGCCATGATGCATCTACATTAACACCATAATATGTTTCTTTTTTTGTGAAAATGCTTTCACCTTTGCGTAATTTGCAGTACTACCACTTTTGAGTTCCCTTTCCGTTTTTTTTAAGGGTTCCTTCTACGTGAGTCTTGTTTTGATGAAGGAATTCTGCAAGCTGCACAATATTGTAATAGTTATCTACACACAACGTGTTATCTTTTCCAAAATATCGTTCCGCTAGTTTTGTAACCACACCTTGTACATGGCCAATGTTATTGTCAACTGTGTATATTCCAGAATAAACTAGACATTCCAGAATGAAGCCGTATGGGATGCAAAGCTCATACAACTTTATTCCATAGTTACTTTTATTTTGAATGTACTGTGGGAACAGTCCACGCCAGAGTAGCAAAGTCTCGTTAACGAAAAGGTTTCTTCCAGGATATAAAACCTTGCGTATGTTTCAGAAAACATGTTCCACACAAGTTGTTCAATTTTGTGTAAACGGGATGTTTTTATATCATCTTTCTTGGTAAATCACATACTCTGCGGAATTTTTTAAAACTATTTCTTGACATTGTATTTCCAAATACTGGGTGAGGATATAGTGGACTCGTACTCCAATAGCACTTAATGTTTGGCAATTTAATATTT